TATTATTATTAGATATTATTATAGATTATAGATTATATTATTATAGATCATAGATTATATTATTATTAGATATTATTATAGATTATAGATTATATTATTATAGATCATAGATTATATTATTATTAGATATTATTATAGATTATAGATTATATTATTATAGATCATAGATTATATTATTATTAGATATTATTATAGATCATGGATTATATTATTATTAGATATTATTATATATTATAGATTATATTATTATAGATTATAGATTATATTATTATGTTAGATATTATTATAGATTATAGATTATATTATTATTAATATTATTATGATTATAGATTATATTATTATAGATCATAGTTATATTATTATAGATTATAGATTATATTATTATAGATCATGATATTTGATTATATTATTATTAGAGATATATTATTATAGATTATAGATTATATTATTATAGATTATAGATTATATTATTATAGATCATAGATTATATTATTATAGATCATAGATTATATTATTATTAGATATTATTATAGATTATAGATTATATTATTATAGATCATAGATTATATTATTATAGATTATAGATTATATTATTATAGATCATAGATTATATTATTATTAGATATTATTATAGATTATAGATTATATTATTATAGATTATAGATTATATTATTATAGATTATAGATTATATTATTATAGATCATAGATTATATTATTATTAGATATTATTATAGATTATAGATTATATTATTATAGATCATAGATTATATTATTATTAGATATTATTATAGATTATAGATTATATTATTATAGATTATAGATTATATTATTATAGATATTATTATAGATTATAGATTATATTATTATAGATCATAGATTATATTATTATTAGATATTATTATAGATTATAGATTATTAAATATTAATAGATTATAGATTATTAAATATTAATAGATTATAGGTTATTACATATTAATAGATATAGAGTATATTAATATAGATTATATTATCATAGATTACAGATTATATTATTATAGATTATAAACATATTATTATTAGATATTATTAACGATTATAGATTATAATAATATTAGATATTATTAACGATTATAGATTATATTATTATTAGATATTATTATAGATTATAGATTATAATAATATTAGATATTATTAACGATTATAGATTATATTATTATTAGATATTATTATAGATTATAGATTATAATAATATTAGATATTATTAACGATTATAGATTATATTATTATTAGATATTATTATAGATTATAGATTATATTATTATAAGATATTATTATAGATTATATTATTATAAGATATTATTATAGATTATAGATTATATCATTATTAGATAGTTTTATAGATTATAGATTATATTATTATAGATTATAGATTATATTATTATTAGATATTATTATAGATTATAGATCATATTATTATTAGATATTATTATAGATTATAGATTATATTGTTATTAGATAGTTTTATAGATTATAGATTATATTATTATAGATTATAGATTATATCATTATTAGATAGTTTTATAGATTATAGATTATATTATTATAGATTATAGATTATATTATTATTAGATAGTTTTATAGATTATAGATTATATTATTATAGATTGTAGATTATATTATTATTAGATATTATTATAGATTATATTATTATTAGATATTATAATAGATTATAGATTATATTATTATTAGATATTATTATAGATTATAGATTATATTATAATCATTAGATATTTTAATATATTATAGAAAATATTATTTTAGATATTATTATAGATTATAGATTATATTATTATTAGATATTTTTATAACTTATATTATTATTAGATATTATTATAGATTATAGATCATATTATTATTAGATATTATATTATTGTTAGATATTATATTAGATATTATTATTAGATATTATTATAGATTATAGATTATATTATTATTAGATATCATTATAGATTATAGATCATATTATTATTAGATATTATTATAGATTATAGATTAAAGATTAAAGATTAAAGAGTTCGGTCTAGACCTGCTCTATTTGAAAAGTGTCCTGAGATAACTTCTGTTATGAATTGGCGCTATACAAATAAATAAAATTGAAAATTGAAAATTGAACATATTATTAGATATTTGTACAGTTATAAATAATTGATATATTATTTATTATATTATTATTAGATATTATTAGATTACATATTATTAGATATCATATTTAGATTATATCATATTATTAGATATCATTACAGATTATAGAACATATTATTATTAGATATTAGTATAGATTATAGATCATATTATTAGATATTATTATAGATTATAGAACATATTATTAGATATTTGTACAGATTATAGAACATATTATTATTAGATATCATTACAGATTATGGATTATATTATTATTAGATATTATTATAGATTATAGAACATATTATTAGATATTTTCATAGATTATAGAATAGATTATATTTTGGTTTGTTTTTCGGAGTAATTATTTCTTTTTTTGTGAAGAATTTCTTTTTCTGCTTTTTGGACTAATTTTTTTTCTGAGTTTAGAGAAATTTGATACAATAGACACATTCATTCCTTTATTGAGAGCTCGAACCGGCTTGTTTAGTTCAATTTATACTTTGATCTGGTTTCAGACACTGGGAGATAGTCCTGTCTTTAAGTCATATAGATGGTATTATCATTAGGTTGTCGACTCTACGCAGGAACCTGAGGATTTGTGGTTGTTCAGAAGGAAAGCCCATTCAGATCTGCTAGACACAGAAATATATACATAGCGAAATTGATAGATATTATTATAGATTATATTATTATTAGATATTATTATAGATTACTACAATAAACAGTAATAATACTACAATAAACAATGATAATAATACAGGTTCTTGTCGATCCTGGTGGAGCCTCCTGCCATGGTCCTGCTAGATTACCATTGCCAATACTGTTGTTGCTGTGCACCTGTCTGTCTGTCTGTCTGTCTGTCTGTCTGTCTCTCTCTCTCTCTCTCTCTGCCTCTCTGTCTCTCTCTCTCTCACCCCAACTGGTCGAGACAGACGACCACCCACCTAGAGCCGGAGGATCTGTCCTAGGTTTCTGCCTTTTAACAGGCAGTTTTTCCTTGCCCTTGTCTCCAAGGTCTTGCTCATGGTGGTACTGTTGGGTCTCTGTAATTAATGTTAAAGAGTTCGGTCTAGACCTGCTCTATTTGAAAAGTGTCCTGAGATAACTTCTGTTATGAATTGGCGCTATACAAATAAAATTGAATTGAATTGAATTACTACAATAAACAATAATAACACTACAATAAGTAACTAAATTGTATTTCAATACACACTGTGAAATACAGCAGTATTTTATTTTGTATTATTTTTTGAATATATCAGATATAAAACCAGCACAACCCTTCAGAATAAACGCATGCTCCAGAATAAAGGGCCCTTCAGAATAAAAGCCCGGGATGCTGCCGTTATAAAACAAACTGTCCTCGCGCTTTGAGCATCAGACCGGAAACGGTCCAAATAAAAACAACAATCAGCTGATGGTCGGTGACCCGCTCACCTTTCTGTCTGTCTGTCTGTCTGTCTGTCTGTCTGTCTGTCGTCGCTGGGACAGGCTCTCGTCCTGCCTGTCTTCCTTCAGGTCCGCCGTCCTCCGTAAACAGCTCGTGCAGACTCTCAGAGAGCAGCGCGGAGGATCACGGGAAACAGAGTCCTGCGTAACGACAGACCTCCCGCATCCCCGCTACTGACGTCAGTGCCGATGTCATGTGACGGTGTCTCTGATCCCCGAGTTCAAACTGACAGCCTGATCAGGACTGATTATTGATTATTGATCGTCTTTATTCTTTTAGCGTCAGTTAATAATGTAAATGTTCAATAAAGTTCTGAAATATGATTGTTCAGCACAGATCGATATCTGTAGGTATAAATATATAGCAGTGTACTGTACAGTGAAAACATCAATAAAACATTACTCCAAAATAAAGGTCAGTCTGCTGATTCTGATCCAGAACCAGTCCAGAACCAGTCCAGAACCAGTTCAGAACCAGTCCAGAACCAGTCCAGAACCAGTCCAGAACCGACTCTGTACTGAGACTCATCAGGATCCTTTATGTGACCTCACTGATGTGCAGAGGTCACATAAAGCCTCAGTGCCCTCAGCAGCTATAGATCAGACTGTAATATGTGTGGAAGGAGTCACAGGTTCGACTCCGACAGCTGTGACTGAAGCTTATTGATTTATATTTATTGATAAAGCTTTATTGATTAGACTGAACGGTGCCGATCAGTCAGGACAACCTGCGGTCCTCCTCAGAGCTTCACTGGGTCCATGTGCAGGTTCTCCAGGAGCCAGTAGTGTTCAGTTGGGGGCCGTCAGTCTGATATTAAAGGAATTAAAGATCAATAAATCATTGCTTTTTCTTCTTCTACGCTTTTAATTTAGGATGTAAGAGATTTACATTGTGCCCTGATGCATTCTGGGAGGTAGTGACCTGCTCTCCACCGTTAGCTCTCGGCTCTACTGCAGCAGATTATCAGAGATCAATACATTCAGCACATTATTGATCAGTACAAAGCTCACACTGAGCTGATCAATACTGATTGTTTGTTTATAGTTTTTTTATTTATTTTTTTTATTGGTGAAATTTAGTGACAGACCCGTGGACTACAAATACAGACCGTGGACTACAAATACAGACCGTGGACTACAAATACAGACCGTGGACTACAAATACAGGCCCGTGGACTACAAATACAGGCCATGGACTACAAATACAGACCGTGGACTACAAACACAGGCCCGTGGACTACAAATACAGACAACAGAATACAACTGTTACAATATGTATATAGGTAGTATAGGTGTGTGTGTCAGTGTGTGCGTCAGTGTGTTATATATACACACATAATGTAAGTAGATGATACAATAAATATAAATAAGTAAATAAAGTAAATAAAGTAAATAAAGTATAAATATGAGAAGAGAAATAAATGAATAATAATAATCTGTAATACGATACAGCAACATTTACATTATTTAACCTAATATAATTTATTAATATTTGTTTATAGTTAATGATCAATTAATCAAAGTGCAGCCTGGGAATGTGTCCCATAATGCTTTGCTGCAAAGTTCATATTCACTGTCACTGTTGATTGATTATTGATCACAGACAGTATTGATTATCAATAAAGACACACAGACACAGTTTGGACCTGATCAGATTTATTGTTTATGTACAAACAAACAAACAAACGTCAGCTGCAGAAGATTCCTCGTCACACTCGAGACGGATACAGCATCTGAAACAGACAGGAAGTCAGTGAGCGCCACAATAAAGCATCTGAAACAGACAGGAAGTCAGTGAGCGCCACAATAAAGCATCTGAAACAGACAGGAAGTCAGTGAGCGCCACAATAAAGTCAGTTATTGGAAGTTTAACAGTAATCAATCAGCTGTTGGTGTTTACAATAATTGATCTGAACTGATTGATTATTCAGTCAGTAAGAGACTGATAAGTGTTCACTGATCAATAACTGATCAATAAGATGAGTTCTCTCTGACACTGTTATTGATCCTGATGGGAAGCTTGATCAGTATTATTGGTGACAGTTGAGCCGACTGTCTGACACAGTGCAGCATTATTGATTATTGATCATTACAGTTCGGGCAGTTCAATATCTGAAGTGATCAGTTATTGAAATTGTTAATATTTGGCTGTGATCCGGTTCTGCCCCCCCTCCAGCAGCTGGTTCTGGTTCTGACTCACCACGCGGACTCTGTGTCCGATGGCCTTTGCCGGCAGGTTGCTGCTGAACTTGGCTCGGACCATCCCGCTGCTGCCGTGAGCTCTGGTCACCTTCCCCCAGATCACCCGGGTCTTATTGGGTTTCCCTCCGGGCGTCACGGTGTTCCTGAAACACAGACACTGGAGTTATACTGCGGGGCGGCTGGGACGGGTGGAGACACTGGAGTTATACTGCGGGGCGGCTGGGACGGGTGGAGACACTGGAGTTATACTGCGGGGCGGCTGGGACGGGTGGAGACACTGGAGTTATACTGCGGGGCGGCTGGGACGGGTGGAGACACTGGAGTTATACTGCGGGGCGGCTGGGACGGGTGGAGACACTGGAGTTATACTGCGGGGCGGCTGGGACGGGTGGAGACACTGGAGTTACACTGGGGGGCTGGAGGGTGGAGACACTGGATATACTGCGGGAGGAGTCAGAGTCCTCGGAGGAGGAGCCATCCTCGATCTCGGAGCCCAAGATTATTTCCTCCCTCACTACTGCTAATTCTCTCTCTCTCTCTCTCTCTCTCTCTCTCTTGCTCTCTCTCTCTCTCTGTGTCTCTCTCTCTGTCTCTCTCTCTCTCCCTCTCTCTCTCTCTCCTCTCCTCTCTCTCTGAACGAGTGGCGAGAACCCAAACAAAATGTGACTGTTTGCCACTCATAGTTTGTCATTCTAAGAGAAAAGACACACAGCATGCTTTGAATGTGACAAAGTGATGCCATGTGGTGACTAAAATGTTGTTCTGAATGGTTTTCAATGCGGCATTCTTCTACCGAAGGAACAAATGTGAGTTTGTGCCATTTTAGGATAATTTAAGGAACTAAGACCAGAATTCTAAACAAATTACAAAATAAATTAAAGCTGCAAGCAGCGTTGGGCGGGAACTCGCACTCCACACAACTCGGGGCGTGCTGCACAGGACCTACTAAGGGTTAATACACCGATAAATAATCAATATTAATACAAACAGTCAGTAAACAGTCAGTAAACGGTCTCTTACTTCTTGGCTTTGTAGACGTAGGCGCAGCGTTTGCCCAGGTAGAAATCCACCTCGTCTCTGGTGTAACAACCTTCCACCTTCAGCAGCGCCGTGTGCTCGCGCTGGTTCCTCAGACCGCGCTTATAGCCGGTAAAGATAGCCTTACTCCACAGTCTGTAAACAGTCAGACAACAGTCAGTCAACAGTCAGTCAACAGTCAGACAACAGTCAGTAAACAGTCAGACAACAGTCTGTCAACAGTCAGTCAACAGTCAGTCAACAGTCTGTAAACAGTCAGACAACAGTCAGTCAACAGTCAGTCAACAGTCTGTAAACAGTCAGACAACAGTCAGTCAACAGTCTGTAAACAGTCAGACAACAGTCAGACAACAGTCAGACAACAGTCAGACAACAGTCTGTAAACAGTCAGACAACAGTCAGACAACAGTCAGTAAACAGTCAACAGTCTGTAAACAGTCAGAAAACAGTCAGAAAACAGTCAGTCAACAGTCAGACAACAGTCTGTAAACAGTCAGACAACAGTCAGTCAACAGTCAGTCAACAGTCTGTAAACAGTCAGACAACAGTCAGTCAACAGTCTGTAAACAGGCAACAGTCTGTAAACAGTCAGACAACAGTCAGACAACAGTCAGTCAACAGTCTGTAAACAGTCAGACAACAGTCAG